AAATGACAAGGCCGCCAAACAATTAAAAATTTCTTTTAGTCCTGTAGAACGATTTGTTTGATTTGCTCTAAGCGCGAAATAATGAAAATTATGGAAATGAAATGCCTGCCCATTGACCTCATTGAGCAGCCAGCTGAAGTGGATAGAAAAGTGGGCGGTGAGTGGGCGGTTATGGTAGAACAAGTTTACCTTAGAGCGGATATCAGTGATGTTAGATGGTGAAAAAGACTTCGGACAGCACATTTCCCTTAAATTGTGTATCCGGCAAATCGAGATTAGAACGAGAAGAAAATCTTACTAAATAGTTTCAAGTGCTATTAGGAATCTAGCATATGAACCAGAAATTGTCATTTATTTAAATTAACAATTATAAGATATTCTTAAAATTAATAAGAAAAAAAGCTTCGCACAACAGACCACATAAGAATAATCTTATAAGGCTTTTTTTGTCATTATCCTTTTTATAATAAATAAAAAAGTATTAATACTTATGCCCATTTTCTACAAATGGTAAGAACAAAGATACGCTATGATTTAAAAATGGATTTAAAATATGTCGATTTCCAAATTTATGATAATTAAAAAGGTACAGTTTTTTTTCTTTTTTTATGTGTTTTAAATTAAAACTTTTAGTGCAGCAACTTCAACCAGGAGCAAACTAATAAACTTTAACCGAAAAAAAATCTTTTAATTTCTGAAAAACAGAATTCCATTACCCATAAATGAAAGAGATGACGTTATAAATGGTGCTTATCGCAATATTCCTCGGATTTCGCCAACCAAAAAATGGCCTCAAATGGCTGCCATCTCTGGCCGTGCTCGCTGGTTACCTTTAACCGCGAATTTTCTCATAATTTTTACGACCTATTTCGTGTGAAAACTGTGTCGCCATGGCATCGCCATTCGCGGTGACCTGGTGAAGTGGTCAACTGAAGTGGAACTTTTAATTTCAATTTTTTATTACTTCAAATCTGTTTGCGCACGGTCAAAATAGGAGCACCACGAGGAGGAGCATGGGGGGGGAGGGGAAGAGCCGGAAAAGTGACCCAGAGTCAGCTTGTCTCACCTGTTTTTCCATTGTGTCGTTTCCATTTTTTTTTTTTTGGTACTGTGGTGTGCAAGTTTTGCGGCATTTTAAATACAGCTATGAAATTGTTTTTTTGGTTAGTTTTTCCGCGCCAGGGCTTCTTGGCTTTTTGGAAATGGTCTACATTTATTGGCCTGGCGACAAATTTTTATTGCCCATCCGTAGTTCTAACCGAAGGCAGCATATGCTGGAGGGAGGGAAAATGTCCTTTTCTTCCGCCGGAAAAGTTTGTGCATTCAGTGCCTGGGGTCTAATCACATTGCCAGGCATCAGGCATCAGGCATCTGGAATCGAGAATCGAGAATCGGGAGTCGAGAATCAAACGCCAACCCTCACAGTACGTGATGCATTTTTTACAAGATGCTCGCTCAACCGGACGGAAAGGGAAGACTTGCGGTCTTTTTCGGATAGTTCGATAGTTCGCCTTCGACTTGCTCCAATGCTTCTGCTCCAGCTCCACTCACAATTCGACTTTTGATGTGGGTATGTGGATATTGGCACGCCCCCAAGCACCATGGGTGAAATGCAAAAGTTGCGCTGCCAAAATGTTTGAAGTTCAGCAAGTTTTCCAATAACACCGCCACTTGTGTGGCTTCCATTTTAATTTGCCAATGAAAGCGTACACTTTCTCGGGGGCAGCACAGCAAGGAAAACTTTAATTATCGAGCACCGAAATTATATGGCAATAATATTGAATTTATGAAAGCAGATAATTCAATTTATGGAGGCTTGAAAAAATATCGACGAGAGTCAGCCACAGAAAGCTGTTAAATGTTTTTTGTACCGGGAAAGCAATTACACGGATAAAAAATTGTACTTTTGTCGTATTCGTTTTTTTTTATAAATTAATTTGAAACTTCAGAAAATTGAACAAACATATTTTAACAAAATAATATTTTCCGCATTGTTATTTATTTTTGCTTTGTATTCTTTGAGCATATGGATAACTTAATTGGCGTTTCTTTTTAATGATAGCTGCGTGTCATAATGATATTTTTGTATTATTTAATCTTTTTTGGGGTTTTCGATCCACGGTGCCAAGTCGGCATGTCAGAATTTGTGGATATTCTGTTTAAATACCGTAATGAAGTCTGCTTATACAATATAATGTACCGTGTTTGTGCTACGTGCCTTGGTTATGTTATTGCACGCCGATCCGCACTTTCGAACTCCCGCTCCCGCTCCCAAATCCGTTTCGCTTGGCAGCAATTTCTGGGCGGGATTGGTGGGTATATGGTTGGGATTGGGCTCAACTTCGCATCTCCGGCTGTGTGTTTTTATTTGCGTCGGCAAATCTTAAGCTTGTTTAACTGCTCGTTAGTGTTAGTCGCTAGCTAGTGCCTCTGCCTTTCGCAGTGCCATATTCCCCATCCTGCCATCGTGCCATCGTGACACCCTATTGTTGTAACACGTTCACGACCTAGTCAACATCTCCAGCTGACTTGGGCCGGAGTCTCTGACTCCGGCTCATACTATGACTATGACTATGACTCTGTCTGTGTTTGGCAAGCATCGGAGCTGAACAGTGGAAGTAGTAGGGCCATCGGAAGGGTTTTGAGTGTATGAGCCAAGGTGGATGCTAAGTACCGACCTGCAAGCCCACCTGCCACCATCCGATTGTGCACGGAGAAAAATAACATGTCAATTTCAATTCTTAATTTTAATATAATTGTTTAAATATTTTAATATAAACGGGCTCTTCTTTAACTTACCGCTATACTTTCATATTTGTCTAGACATTTTAAAACATTTACAATGCCTTATTATAATAATAATTATGTTTTTAAGATCTGTTCCAGTAAACTCTTAGCGACACAGTATTTTTAAAAATATATTAAAACCCGTTTTTATACATATATTTAAGTATACATTTTGTAACTTTACGAGACTTTTTTTTTAAATTTATCAACTTTTGGAAATATAGTAATGTAAATAAAGGTTGATATACTATAAACAAAGCAATAACTGGAGTTTGTCTAAGGATTGAAATATATATATAAATAATAAAATAACAATGTGATTCGTAGAAACGTAACAAACGGAGAAAGCTAATAAATTTTACAATTTAAATATAATATAAAATTTTATTTGTTTTATATTTCCTCCATTTTTATATTTTAGCCCTTGGATCTCCTGCTGCTTAATGGTATTTCAAATTTCTCTCTGTGCAGCAGTCATGGCTGCTCCGCCTGACTAGTAAATGTTTGTCCAGCATAATTGCGCTCAGCATGCAGTTTCCCTTTGCCGTTGCCTCTGCTATTTCCTTTGCCTTTGCCGGCGTAGTGGCTACAATATTTTCCTCAGACCGACGCCATTGCCGGGCGTTTTTCAATTTTCCCTAGTTTTGCCTTCTTGCGGAGCTTTAAAGGATTTGAAACTTGTTTACGTGGCGTATTAGTATAATTTACAACGAAAGCCATCAAAGGCTTTGATGCGCCGCAGGCGAGTCTGGAAATTATTTTGCCATCGCCTTAACCGAACTAATTTCAATGTGTCCGCAGTGTTGTTGTTTATGTGGGTTAACCGCAGGGAAAATGGGAAAGAGACGAGGTCGAGTGTTGCCAATAAACAATTTGGCATGTAGAGTGTCTGGAATTGGAATCTAGATAAACAGCATTGGATGTAATAAAGTTAGATGGCTTAATAAACAAATGAAAAGTTAATAACCACAGTTTTGCGCTGCCCCAAAATGTATGCTACACAAAACAAAACTTACACTTTTTTAATCTGTTGATAATTTGAATACGCAAAATAAAAACTTAAAAAAGGCTAATATTTTCATAGCATGGACATTTAATATTATTGCCATAATTTTTCAAGTAAGTAAGCAAACTGGAATTATTTTTTTCCCAGTTTCTGAAAATACTGATACTAAATTGAATTTTTAATTTTAAAAAAAATTCCAACAAACAGATGATGTAGATAACGTCAAAATAAATCTTTTTAATGTATATATATTAAAATATTTAAAATTGTGAAATCTATTGGCAAATTTTGGTTGATAAACAAAAAAATACATGTAAAGGAGATATGCTGGCAAATTAAACATTTTTCATATGAAATAACTACAATACAAACAGTTTTGATAAATTTTGTTAAAAGAAACAGAAAGAAGATTGATTTATTATTGTGGATATGAACATATACTACCGATATATTATTGAATTATAAGCATATATAAATGAAAGATATATAAATGAATAATACACCTCAAAAATAATTTTTTAATAGTGATAAAGTCGTTATGAATTATTTCGTTTTGTGCATTGGAATATAAAACCCAAATCCATTAGCAAAATATATCCATATATTAGGTCCTAAACCAGAGGTAACCGCATATATAGATATATATGGGTCGACAACTAAAGCCCGTTCACATATTTAGTCTCGTTTTCGTTTCTGCCCATTACAATTGTCGCAGCCATTGCTGGTCATAACAATTACCGTTTCGTGTTTAACCATAATAATCTGCCCTGTTGTTTGTGTGATTAAACAAATAATAAACCCAAAAGCCCTTACCACTTGAGTGTTTTTATTGTTGACCAAATATGAGTTCATGGGATTTAAAATTGTTTAATCAACTCGGCGGTGTACTCAATGGCCTGTTGTAATGCCGAAAATATTTACCATGCTTTATGGTTTTATGCCGAGCACTTTTCGGCAGGGATTCTGATTGTTTTAGACTTAGTCTGGGCCACGTGCGTGCCTCGATTCCCTATACAATTTTCCGTCTGCTCCATAAATCTTGGTGCTAAATTTAAAAATAATACAAAAACGTGAGATTTATTGAGGAGGATCTCCTTCTGCTCCTACAGATTGGCCCAGATGGAGTTTCAATAGTCATGCCACAGGCAGGATTTATGACGCAAGAGTAAATACAAATAGCCCCTCAATTATTGCGCAATTTGAAGTGTTTAATTAATGTATGGTATTTTATTGCATTGTATTCAGGGTATTCGTGTGTACGTATTGGTTATGCATAATATATAGATATAGGTTGTAGTTGTAAGTTGTAGGTATAGGCATAGATATAGATATAGGTATTATGTAAACACTAACTAGCGTTATGCGTGCTCGATTCAATTGTATATCACTTAAATTATAATTACGAAACGAAATTGCTCGTTGGTTAATAGCGCATAAATACACATTAAATGCATAACCAATTGTTGAGTTTTGCGTCCCTTTTCCCTTTCTAATCGGTATCCGGAGTCCTGCGGTTTTTGGGCTTGCAGATGGGGATGGGTATGGTGATGTCGATGTAGATGGGCTAACTCCTCGCCAGCATTCCGTTGATCATGATGTTGGCCAGGGCGTTCCGCCTCTTGCGCCACGCCCCCATGCCCTGGGCGTGATATTGCAGCTGTGTGTACCATTGTTTCGTCCGCACTCCGTCCTCCGCCTGCGAATAAATAAAGCGTCGTGTAAACCTGTTAGACGTATTTGATTGACTGGTCCGCGTGGCCCCTGACCTCCCCTCCCACAATTTTCCACCCAGCAAGGTTGTTGTCATTTTGACAGGACCCGTGGAGTGCGTATACGCACGTGAGTGTGCGAGTGTGCCGGCTCTTGTCAGCCGCTCAGTTGGCCGGAACTAAACGTTTCAATTTATGCGCCGCCGGCCTCAAAATGCCTACGCCGAAGTGTAATCCCTACACTCGTCAAAAAATTAAGCCCGGAATACATAGCTTCTATAAATTTAACTATTAACTACTACCTTTAAAAGAAACTTATTTGAAAACAAAAACACCGAAAAAGAAACACTCTACCAAATTATGACAAAAAGTAATTCCTTCTACCCTAGAAAATTCCAAGCAGAAAGTACAAACAAATTATTATATACCCCTTATCAATGTGGATGAAAATGTACCTAATAAGAGTTATTACAAAACAATAACATTTAAATATTTATAAGAAAATTAATAACAGAAAAGTTGCATATACAAATGTTATTTTAGAACATATTTAAAAATTGTTGAAATAAATAAAAAACATTTTCATAAAGTTTTCGATTAAAAACAAACCTAAAAAAACAGGTTTAAATTATTTGTTGACTACTAAGCCGGAAATTCGAAATATATTAATCGTTTTATGTTATATTAAAAGCATTCGTGAAATGACAGCTGTCTATTGCAAACTAACTCTGTTTATTAACCTTTTGTTGTATTTTATTTTGATTTATCCCAATATTTAAATAGATAAATTAAATTATTTTTTAAAGGCATATATCATTATGTTTATTTTGTGAACTGTAGCCTGTACCGAATCTCTGTCTGGCTGGCATTGTCCCAAAGTCTGGCTGTCTGCTTTTTCGCCCTTTTTCACGCAGCCATTTTGTTGCGCTCCCGTGCGTTTTTCTTTCATTCTTTATATAACGTATTTCAATAAATGTCATTCATTTTGGCAGCCGCTCTACGTGCGCTGCCTGAGCGCGTCTGAAAGGATCTGGATCTCCGCCTGCGGGCCCGGCCCGACCAGGACCCTCTCCCCATCCATCCGGCAATGGCTTAGCCGGCCCTGAACAGCAAAAAAAAATATAAATAAAAAAAATGGAAATTTGCATGACTAAAATCTGGATGGCTGGTCGGATGATGCTACAAGCATTAGACGGGCAAAGATTTCGAATGGATTTTTGCATACGCTTTTTGCGCTCTGTCTGTTATTAAAATTGCTTTACTTTCGTCCTCGGGTAAAGGTAAACTCGTCATTGTGCTGCAGCTTCCTTGTTCCCTCGCTCAAAGAATTTCCCAGCATTTCCCATACAAAAGGTTATGAGCATGCGAGTGTGAATGAAGGGTGACTTTTATTACATTCCTAGATGACTGTGCTGGAAGCACTTTAAGCTGATTCATCTAGATGTTACTGTATTGCTTTTGCATTTGGAAAATTTTAAATTTCAATCTATTTCATTGTCATTCGCGTAATTTATATAATTGTTTAATAAAAAAATAACAAGCCAAACAAATAAATATAAACCTGGCATATAAATAAACATATAAATATTAAAATCATTATAACGCTGTCTAAAAGTATGCAACACAAAATACATTGTTACCTGAAGTGTGTTGGGATTATTTTTATTTTTGTAGCATATTTTCAGACACCTTTGTAAATTATAAAACAATCTAACCGTTTTCTATCTTCTCCAAACCCTATAACTATTTTAAAAATATTCTATCATTGGTAAAACTCTTTCCATATGTTGTTGAAGTACGCCATTTCGAGGTTGGTTAACTCTCCTGTTGCGCTGCTCTATTAACCGCACTTCTCGGCCAGAAAAAAGGTCAGGAACTATCATTGCCAACCCGTTCCTACCAAAAGCCATGCCCACACTAAGCTGTAAACTAACGAAGCCCAAACACTGGTCTGCATTGTGCAGTCAAAAGGCGGACGCTCACTAATTCAAAAGCCAACTCAACGGGAACAGAACTACGGACTGCGGACTGCGGACTACGGACTGCGGACTGAATTGGCTTGGCCAGTTGGAGTAGAACAAAACAAAGGACCTGCTGCCGATACCCATACCCGTTCCCGTACCCGTACCGATACCGATACTCTCTCGTACTCACTTTGAATATGAATGTGTCCTTCGATGAAATTTCCTGCACTTCGAAATAATCATCCCAATCCGCTTCGCTGCACACGACACATCTGTCCAGATAGAGCGGCTCCCGGATCAGCGTGTACCGTCCGCACTTCTCCTTCACCAAAAGCAGCGAGGCCTCGCGGATGCCCGTGTGCTTCGGGAAATTCAGTTTTTCCGACATGGCCTTCTCTGCCCTGTAATTGGCACTTGGCTGTTGTTGTACGGTTGTCGTTGTTTCAGGTTTAGTTTTAGTTGTCGTCGATGGCGATGGAGATGTCGGTTGGTGTGGCACAAAAAAAATAGTGGACCAAAAGCGGCGACAATGAAAAAAATAAAGAACAAAATAAGAAAAATTGAAAATTGTGTAAAACGAAACTAAACAAAATTACAACTAAAAGGGAAGGTATATAAAAAACACAGAGAAAAAGTTTTTGATATTTAATACTAAAAAAAGTTAGGCACAATAAAATGTTTTAGTTCACAATATACATTTTTGACTGAGCCTTTTGTATCTTATAAATATTTTACATAAATAACTCGTTACATTTTTAAAGAAAAAAGTATTTTTTTTTAAATATCCGGATTGAATAAGTATATTTTAGTGCTTTAAAACTGTTATAACAATAACTGCCTAACTCATTAAATAATTTATTTAATTCTAACATAAATATGTTTTAAATTAAATTGTATTAAATAGAATGTGTTTGCCCTAGACCTAAATTTCTTACATTATAATGTCTAAAAAGAAAAACAAGCAAACCTAATGTTTCAACTAAGTTTTAAGTAAACAAAGGCTGAATTTATAATAAAGGGAATCTTAAGCCAATTTAGGTGGATTCATGTCTTTTAAAATGAAATCGTAAAGCTCGATTTAATTTTTATAATATTTTTAAATGACATGTTTAAAGGATTTAGCTGTCTTAAATACATAATTTTTATTAAATTCGTGTATTTTCCTCCAGTGTGGCTTGGACTATCCTAGATAAGGCTCTGACAAAGCTTGTCAGGCCGAGAAACTGCCGCAGGAAACGGCACCAAGAAGCAGCTGGAGCCACATCGCAAAAAAAATACCAAAAAGGGAACAGGCAACGAACTGGATGGTGACCGTTCTTGAATTGAGCAATTGTCGGCGGTCGAGAGACCGGGTTAAAAATTTAGAGCAGGGTGCCTGTGCCTGTGCCTGGAAAAAATGAAAAACCCCGATCGGAGCAGAAAAGAAAAAAATGAAAAACACCAAACAAAACATGTGACATACGCACTGCGTCCGTATGCCGATTACGCCCTCGATCCCAAAACTCCTGGCAGGATGCCACTTTCCTCTGCCGCTCTCCCCCCAGGAAAGCTGAAAATGGTTTTGTTATTTGGGCCCCAGATAGTTGCTGGGATAAGCACTTTTCATTAGGAGCAAAAGCCAGAACGAGAAGGGTTCCTAGTTCTGTGCTCGATTCGGTGCCGGTTCAATGGGCTCTCGGCTCTGATTTGTTGAAATCTTTTATCGCACGGAAAAGTGTTGCCATGGCAGCCGGAAAATCCGAGACAGCTCCGGACAGCTCCGCCGCACGGAGGCAGCTGGATGGCGTCGCTCGCTAATTGCCTTGGCATCGCCATGGACATCGCCATCGCCATTGCAATCGCCTCTTGCCATCTTGGCCCGTGTCAAACGCCCAAACGTCTGCTGAAGCCTGTCGAATGTGGCCAGTCAGGAGCACAAAGAGGAGGTAAAGGAACTGGAGTAGAGTGAGCTACTACAAGAGGTGCTCAGCCGAGTTAAAGAAAAGGATTGGGCATGGAAAAGTCAAGCAAATCCGTGTAAGAAAAAAATTACGAAAAGCCTACAAATTAAATTTGTTAAAGAGTTAGACCTTCTTATTGTAAAACTTCCTATATAATTTGTAAAAATAATAGAGGCCTTAAGGCCTCTTTTTCGATTTACGTTTTTTTCTATTAAAAATGTTTTTTTACCTAAAGGAAGGTTTAACATTTTCAAGACTAAAACTATGGCTTATAGAAAACATTTTTAGGCATAACAAAAAAAAATTGATCTGAGCTTTAGACTGAGTTTATAGAATAGTATTGGATTTGAATGGACAGTTCTTACCTTGCCATTGGTAACCAATAAAGCGTTAACGGGAGTCAACTTGATGGTGCGGGCCTTCTTCCAATTGCTGTCCGTGGGCTGTGTGTAGAGCAGTCGTCCCTCCATGGCGAACCGCACCTCGTCGTGGTTCCACTCCAGCACATCGATGGCCATTTTGCGCAGCTTGATGTTGATCATGTCGATCTCGCAGGAGGCACGTCGATTCGGACTGGAGGAGCTGATGCGGCGCCACAGCTTGGTGGGCACATCCTTGGCCTCCTGGTTGATGTGGTTCAGGTGCAGCTCGATCTTCTCCTGGGCCTGCTTCAGCAGATCGCGCCCATCAACTTGGGTGGGTGTGACCTTGTAGAGACGGGCCAGGAGTAGGGGATATTTTGTCACTCGCTGAACAGGAACCTATTCGAAATATATGGATTAGCATAAACTGTTAAAAAATATTGAAATAGTAACATAAATATTAATTCAATATTTTATATCTCTCAATATAAACTCTTAATATTAAGTACAATGCATATTATTTAAAATAAAACATGATTTAATCATAAAATGTTTAATTTATGCGAAATATATAAGTAGACCGTTTTATTTTAAATGCAATAAAATCCTATTGCCTAATCCTAATCCTAATCGAAGCAAAAATATCTTTAATTGAGTATGAAATACTTGGTTAAGCACTCACCATCAAAAAGGAGTTGAGGTTCATGCGCCGCAGCACGGCGTTCTCCATCTGGGAGACCTTGAGGAAGATGCGCAGCAGCTCCTTCTCCTTCTCGAGGTTGGCCAGCAGCAGACTGGCGCCCGCCTGGCGGACGCAGTAGCTTTCGAAGGCGTGCAGCATCTGGGTGGAGTCGAGGAAGATGCGCCCGATGTTCACGGTGAGCAGGTCGTCGTCGCCCTGCTCCAGCGACATGTCCAGGGCGTCGCGCATGCGCTCGGCCAGCGTCTGGTTGTTCTCGAGCAGATCTTCCGTGTTGAGGAAGATCGCGGAGAGCTGCTCCTGGGTGAGCAGGCCGGCCACCAGCATGGGGTGGCAGAACTCCTCCAGTATGATCTGCAGATCCCTGCCGTACTTCTCCTCCGTCTCCACGATCTCGGTGATGATCTCCTTGCGTTCAACTCGCTTCTTGCCGCATTTCCGGCAAACTAATGGGGCATAGAGCACTCCGCCATCGCCCACCTGCATTTCGACGGCTCCATCGCAATCCTCGCACAGATGGAGTACGGTGGGCGTGGCCTGGTACTTGCTACGGGAGGTCTTACTAGTTTCCGAGCCCACTCCAGAGTCCTGACGTTCCACATCGCTGCCAGAGGATTTTCCTCCTCCTCCTCCGCCGCCGCATATGAAATTATGTGGTGGCGGCGACAGGGAACTCATGCTGCTCTGTCCACTATCCCGCTCCCTTTCCCGCTCCCGCTCCTCCGCCTGTCGCTTGTCCAAATCACTCAGAGTATCGGCAGCTTCCTCTTCTATTATCTTAGGATTATTGCCATAATCGAAGCTCTCTTCGCGGGCCAAACCACGCTCCTTGGCGTCCACCAAATAGGAGAGTATATCATATTTGGAGGCTCCTTCGAAGATGGAACGGGCCGCCTTCTTCTCCAGCTCGGCATCGTTCAGCGGCGGAGCAGAGAGTGGCAGAGGCGGGGGCACCTCGTGGATCTCCTCGTAAATGGGATCCCCACTGTGCCTAATCGATTCGTAGTGGTGTTCCGCGTCGGTGCCCAAATCCTGATGCGTTGAGTGCTCAATCTCGGCCAAAGTGGCATCCACCAGCAGTTGATAGAACTTGGCACGCGTGGCAGGATCTAGTTCCGCTTCGGGATCCTTTAAAGAGTCCTCCTCCAGGACACCAGAGGCTGTCAACTCGCTGGAGCAGCTCTGATAGCAATCCGACTCATTGCCATTTGCTCCGGTGTCAAAGTCGAACAGCTCGTAGTTGTGGGCCGAGGCAAAGCTGTTGGCGGAACTGATGCTGCCCCGATTGGACAGGCGGTCCTCCTCTTTGGTTGCACTGCCAGGTGTGGCCGCCACCGGATGTGGCTGTCTTTCCAGGCGGATGCGCTGCAGCGAGGCGCTGATCAGCCGGTTCATGTCATCGTGGTCTTTGGTGCCGCTCATGTCGATGCCCCGGCGCGTTTGCTGCAATCTCTGCAGCGAGTTCTCAATGAGTTCCGCCACCGTCTCCGTTTCCAGGCCATCGGCCACCTGGCCCAGCATGGGATCCCTCAGGAGTTTGGCTATGAAATTGGGCTCCTTGGCGGGTGTGGTACTCAGTACCTCTTCCCCCTTCTTGGTTTTACCACTTTCCCGCGAGGGCGCCCTTAGGCCACAGACATGGGGAACCAAATTGAGTTTCACTGCCTCCACGGGATTGCGCAGGATCTTCAAGAGCTCGGTCTCGTGCGGCACCAGCTCCTCGGGCGGCGGAGTGGCTGGGGTGGAACTAATAACAGGCGGCGTATTGATGGGTGTACTACTGGTGGCCGATCCCTTGCGCTCCCTGTCGTAGTCCAGGCGAATCAAGGTCCTGCCCCTGCCACTGCTGCTGCTGCTGCTCGAGGTGGAACTACTCGAAGTGGAGGAGATGCAGGACACCGACCGCTGCAGATTCACCTCGCTGACTCCGCGTATGGGTATGATGGCTATGCCCGGGCCCAGCTGCTGGCTGCGCAGAGTGTTTAGCTGGTTCAGCTCCTGCTCCTGCTCCTCGGCACTGCTCACACTGATGCACACACTGGTGGCCGAGTGGCTGTTGACCACCACCGAGGACTGATACAAAGGCTGAGCTGCGTCCGCACTCAGATTCATGGTGGAGTAGCAATCGTCGCCACTAATCAGTATAGAGGTCTTCTTGGGAGCCGCATCCTCTTCGTGGGGCGATGGGATCTGGAAGAGATTGGGTTTCCGGCGCAGCTCCACCTCCTCCTCGCTGTGCGAGATCTTCAGGCGATGCACCTCGTGGGTGCAGCTATCCACCTGCTGCTTGAACGGGGCCACCCGAACCACTGTCCTCTGGGGCGACTTATTGATTTCGTGCGGCTGAGACGGCTCTAATCCTTTGCCAGCCACTCCCCCCTTTGGGGGCGGTGGTGGCGGCTCCTTCGGTCGCCTTTGAAATAAATCTCTCGAGTCGCTGCGGTTGCTTTTTATGCGCAGTGCCATTGTGTCCTTAAAATTTAAAATGACATTCTGCTGTGCCGGCACCCAGCCACTGGCTGGAGTTGTTGGTATGGAGTGGCAGTTTCTCGGGGGGGCGTGGCCAGGGGCGGTGGATGAGGGGGCGGTGGTAACAGAGGGCGCCGTCGACAAATGCCGCTCACTGTGCGCCCGTCTGATGGGATTTCGCGATTGTGTCGTTTGTGCTGCACGCTTTTGACTTGCCGCAGGCTTGGCAACGCCATCCTCCTTCTTCACCAGCATCAGTTTCTCCTTCCAGTTCCAGCTCGTTGTTCCCTGCTCCTGCTCCTCGTGCTTGTCCTTTCGGTCCCTTTCAGCCAAGTCGTTGGGCTTGTTGTCGTGACTCTCATCCTTGTCGTTGTGCTCGTCATCATCGTCATAATCGCGATTTGCTGCTGTCTTTTGGGTTGCTGTTTCTGGTGTTGCTGGTAGTGTTGCTGGTACTGTTGCTGGTAGTGTTGCTCCTCCTGCACCTCCCACTCCATTTGATGTGCCTGCAAAAGAGTAGATGGCAAGCCGGTTAGATGGTGACACTGGTGAGTGGCGTGTCGCAACTGGCAAAATGTTGCTTTTGTAAAGTAAATCTAAGAGTGGCAAGCCCCGGCCAAGATACAGAGTGGCCTCCCACACCCACACCCAAACCCACACCCACACCCACATTTGCAACCTCAACTGCTGCCTGATCATGAGAGTAATAGCTAAGAGCCGAAGGGGATTTAACTTGGATCTAATGCGGTAGACAACGAGTGCAGCGGAGTTGGCAACAGTTTATGGCTTTTGGAATGGCTTATAGCCAGAATTGTATGGGTTCTGAAAAAGTGCCTTAAAATAAAATTAAAAATTCCTTTGATAAACACACAAAAAAATTAGTTACCTGAAATACTTTTGAAATTATATATTTTTGGGTGAGCTATATAGCATGAATGCACTTCAGAGCTCCGAAGGGATTTCTACTTTCTTGAGAACTTAAACTTATTGTTATTTGCGTATTTTTTATTTTTAATATTATAATTTATTAATTTTCAAATCACTTGCATGCTTAAAATCCTATACATTTTAATCTAAGTACATAGTTTAAAATTCTGAAGATTTTAAAAATAGGTTTAGTCATAGGATATTCTCAAATGTTCAATATATTGCAAGTACAAAGTAAGGTTTTTAATGATTTAAAAGAAATACTCCCAAAGTAAGTATTTTAAAGCTTTTTAAGGTCCCCGAAGGGATGCAAACTTCTTGAGGTCTTAACCTTATTGTTATTTGTGTTTATTTATACAGTGTTTAAGCTGTTATTGCTTGTAATTCGGGGTAATCCCCCTCATCGACTCAATGGCTATTTATTTATCTTCCTGGCAGCACCTTCACTCGTTCACTCGGTTCAGTTCATGCAGATTTATGTTCGGCCAAATGGTGTAGTTGCCCCACAAAACCCCTGTCCCAGCCACTTCAGCCCCACTATCAACCACCCCCCCACTTGGTGGTGCCACCCCCTCAATCTTCCCCCTCCCCACCACAACACTCAACCCACTTCCGTTGACAGCCACTTAAAGATGTGCCTGTTCGCGATAAGGTATTTTGTTTCGGCTCTTTTGGTTTTTGGTTTTCGACGGTGGCCACGTTTGCGGTTGCACCACCCAAAAGCAGCCAAATACCATCCAAAAACGAAACAAAAACCACCGAAAAGCCAACCCACCACCAGCCCCCAAACGACTGACAATATGTACGTATCTTTATTTATGGTAAATTGGGTGATTTACGTTGCGGCCGATAAGCTTTGCTTTTCAGCGCTTTGCCAGCTGTCCTTGCTCTCTGTGCGTCCTGTGTATCCTGTTTGTCCTGAGTGTCCTGTGGCATTTGAATTGCCAGGCGGCTCAAGGCTCAAGTCCTTGACTGTGACTGTGACTGCCAGTGGGCTTGTAAATGGGCTTTTATTTTCGTTAGCCGGGTTAAGAGCCCGCACAAGGACGAATGCTGAATGGCACCGCGACCAAGACGCGGACGTGGCTGGCTCCAAACAATTTGTGTTGGAATTAAGATAATAGATTACATTTAAATGTTTTGAGGCTGCGAAAAAGGGTTTACTTGTCGCAGCCGAAATTTGAGTGCCGCTGCTGACGTCAGCCCTAAAATGGGTTGATAACCCTCGCATTTCACTTTTATATCCCCCCCTTCCAACCCATCCCTCCTCCGAAAATGATAAGACATCCGGACAGTGACCCACACACAAAATACAAAACACAAAATACAAAATACAGTATACAAAAGCCAACGTCGTTTTAATGAGTGCGAAAAGTGAGCTGGCTTTATGGGTTGCGGCCACCTTTGCGTTTTATGTTAATGAGTGTCATCGGCACGGAGATTCAAGGAGCTGAGTCGGTGCACTCTGAACCCGAAAGCGGATCGAATAAACACTTAACAACACGACACAAGCAGCTCAGCTTAAACGAGCCGCGAGCAGAAGGAGCGTCCTGGAGCGAACAATGAAATTAATTAATTGCGACAGCCACTTGAATTTCAATCGACAACCCTTCGATTTGCTAATCGCATTAGCCGCCGTTCGAAATAGTTTGCCTTGCAAAACGGCAACAATGAGGAGCAGTGGATCTGGATCGGATGGATACAGCTCGAGTGGCGAAAGGTAGCTCGCTTTTCATCTAACACTTGTCTGCTAACTCCCTTCAAACCTTTTGTGCACTGGGCAAAATTGGAACATTTAAACTTGTTAATGTATTGTTATTTGCTTGATTATTTTTTTTATGTTTTATTATACATATATATTAATATATATATAATTTAAATTCTTTTTTTTTTAATATTTGTGAAGCCCTCGAGGCTGGTCTTAAACTTTGAAGTTTTTTACTTGTGTTGAATATTTTGATTGTGTTGATTATTTTATATTTGTAAATTCTCACTTAATTAAAATCAATCTTAGTACTACAAATTTAATATTTTTGTAGCTCTCAAAACTGGTAATTAATTGTAGTTTTTGTACCAAAATAATTGCAAGCAATTTTCCGCGTTAACCTATTATTGCACTTTTTGAGTGATATATTTTTCCTGGCCGTGATTGGGCTGCTGTTCTTTTTTTGCGCTGCCACTTAATGAGATTTTTGTTGAGAATTACACTGCCATTGTCGCTGGGAAGTCGCGCAGTTGTCGACTATTGTAATTGGTTGCCGCCTTGTCTTTGAGCGAAAATATTTAATTAACGCCTTTTGTAGTTGGATGCGATGCTCGGCTGCTTGTAATACACTCTCGACAAAGGGCCACAAAGGGAGCAACAAATAAATCCTAAATTTGACAAGCCAAGCGCATACAAAAGCCTTCATTTATTTAATTGCCTTTGGTCTAGGTACATCTTGGGAAAATAAAAAAAAAAAAAAAACAAATAAGCTGAAAATAGCTAAAACAAAGCAAACATTTTTATCAGAGCTGAATTTCGTTACAGGATTCAATTAGCCAAGCCAAGTGGGTAGAAATATTGTTAACTTTGAAATGCACACTTAAATTGGATCAATTTTGTGCAGAATAGGTTACTGGCTTTTTCGGTTAGTTGGCAAATTAAATAAAAATCGAAGCAGGGAAAATGTAAACAAAGTGAAAATGGGAAATTGGGAGATTGAGAGATGGTGAGATGGCAAATTGGAGGAGTTGAATCCTTTTGCCCCATGCGGCTTTGTTCGTTTGAGGAGAAAAAGTAATTAAAAGAGTAACTTGTCGGGATTAGTAAAAACATTTTAATTTAGTTGCCATGCATAACAAAGAGTGCCGAACGAGAGGGGTTAAGGGAAATGGCAGCAAGTCAAACTGAAATGGGTCAATAAATCCGAGCTTAATTTTATTGCTCTGCACGCTGCCAGTCCCTCCTTTGAGCCATTCTGCTGAGCGAGACGAAGAAATATAAATCGCAATGGTAAACAAATCAAAATAAATGAGTAACAAAAGCAAGCCATGGCCTAGGAGATGTGAGCGGAGCTCCGCTTTTCCCATTTTCCCGGCCACTCCTCCTCCAATGTGCTGACAAGCTGACAAACTGACTCGAGACTCGAGATTCCAGATTCGAGACTCCAAGGGAGTCTGGCAATCTGCCGAGGAAACTCAGAAGCTCAGAGGGTCCGGAAAGTAGGGAAAAGAGGGAAAAAGCTGAAAGAAAGAAATTATAGTGGCTGAGCAGGGATTGAGATACGTAAACGTACACGGATTCCGATTGGAATTGCGATTCTATTCCCCAATCGCCACACAGAGCAAAGAATGTCGCAGAAACTTGATGATGCTGCAATTGATGTTTCCAAATATGTCTGTACAAATGATGCAGAATTTCAGAAAAAAAACCACTTTACTACTGTCTAGCTAACGACTAACTTTTACAATTAAATTTTGTAAAAATATTTAATGCACACTTTTTAAAAAATATATGTTTGAACATTTTATTTATTTAAAATTATACAAAAAAGCTAGTTTAACTATTTTTTTTCAGTTTATAAAAACGACTCATTTTGAATAGAAAATGTAAAGATATTTTTTCCAAGTGCACTTTCGCCCCTTTACAGCTGCAACATTATTGGGTCCAGAGCAAACATTGTGTACATTTTGGCTCATTTCAATAAGGGCACAAATTTTACTAGCCGGACATGTCAGAAAACAGTTGCTGTTTTGATGGAGGCAGCGTTGGGTTAAAACATATAAATTCGCATTAGAAATGCACGAGTTGATTTGAGTTTCATTTTGGCTGTGAAACGAGCAAACAATGCCCATTGCACAGTAGCAACAGCAACAGCAACAATTGCAGCTGCAACAAAAAAAAAACAGAACAACAAAGTGCAGCTTAAGGTAGTGGCAGCAGCAACATTTACTGCTGCTGTTGTTGTTGCAGTTGCACGTTTCTCCGGCCTGCGAAACATTCATTTCCTTGTCCTGGCTTCGAATCCTTGCACCCAACCCTCGGCTCCTTTGTCTTGGCAGCTTGCAACTCAGACTCCTGCTGCTTATGTTGCCAGTGCACCGTCTTTTTAAATGCGCGTAAACTACTTACAAGCGCATCCGGCGACTTGCTCTCAGTCAAATACAATAGACATCAAAAGAATAGCAGTGAATAAATGTGTCTCTAATTACTGAAATATCTTCAGGTCGAAATGAGAGACTTTTAAAACTAGTTGAAATGTTTTTTAATTAACTTTTTTTTCTAATTGTAAGTTAAATAAATTAAAAAACTTTTTATGCCTTGTTAAAATATGTTATTAAATAAAAGTCTAATGTTGTTTGTCTGTTTAACTCTTAATTTAAGTGAAACCCTTAACTTTATATTATAGACCACCGGCAAAGCGCAATAAGAAAATGGTATTAAACATTCTTATTATATGTTAAAAAACAAGCATAATACAATTTAATTCCAGATATATAAACTTTTTTAAGGCCTGACAATAAAGAATTTGAGAGCTATTAATCTGAATGCAAGTGTGCCGGCAGGCAAAGCATATAATATATATTTCTTGGGCAG